TGGTGAGGAAGATCAGCCCTGAGCTAACATCCATGCCAATCCTCCTCTTTTTGCTGAGGAAGACTGGCCCTGGGCTAACATCTGTGCCCACCTTCCTCCACTTTACGTGGGATGCCACCACAGCATGTCCTGACAAGCGGTGCCTCATTGCTCGCCCGGGATCCCAAGCTGGGCCACCAGCAGCGGAGCACGGGCACTTAACCGCGGTGCCACGGGGCCGGCCCCTCACCCCATTCTTTTTAATATAAAGCAACAGGAGGTATTAAATATGCAAAAGATGGTCTCCAGTCTGTCTGCTTTTTTGGAACTCTAAGTCCTCTATTATATGGATACTTATCCTAGACACATGCCAGTTTATTTTTTGAGATCTAGAAATGTTCATATCAGTTACGTAACACTGTAGGCTGATTGGCAAGAAGCAGCATGAGCTGGGAGGGGTCTGGTTTGCATTTTGTTCTCCAGCTGATTGATTTTATAGCCTCGGGACTGTCACTGTAACTTCTCTTAGCCATGAAATAAGACATGGGAGAATATTTGGATAGCATGGGGCTTATTGTTTACTTAAAAATGAATTATGTGATCAGATCTAGGAGCCGACGTTTTTGCTCAATGAAAAACCTAGTAAGACCTCTCCTCCCACATTCAGCTTTCTTCCTGCCCTGTACCCACCCACCTCAGCTAGGCGTTTGGTGCAAGAATGGAGAGGATTTTTGCTCCAGCACTTAGTAAATATTCTGTGTATCATCTTGGATTTGAACTAACGCTTATTAAGGAGATAAATTCCCTTTAAGTTTCATATTTATCTGATCATGTACTCTAGGGTTTTCTTTTTAAACCTAAAAACTCTCCTTGAATACATCTTCCCTGATACTGACACTGACCTTTCATTTGTATGGGAGTGTTTTTAAGTGATTTATTTAAAGCTGCACAGAATAAGTAATACCTCTTTAGTAATATAGAATTGAATGATTGATTTGAAAGGCTTAACCCCAACATTTAAGATAGTGTAGAAGTGTATAAGGTATATAAAGAACTGGTAGATGAGCGTGCTACTGCAAGTTCTCGGATGATTTGCTACTAGGAATTAAGCTAAGATGAGGGGTAAATGGCTAATTTCTTTCATTTTGCTTTTACAAAATAAGACACAAGAGTTGTCAATTGTCTGTCCTGTTGCGTATTTCCATATGTGTTCAGATTTCTGGCTGTCAGCCGTGTGTTAGCCACTCTCTCAGGCTCTGCGGAGGACACCAAGGCACTAACAGTACCTTTCCTCAAGGAGCTTGTTTGGGAGTTAAAAAGGTTAGAGGGAAGCATACCTGTGTGTTGATTAGGTATAGATAAGATACTCAAGTTCCGAATACACATGTGTATAGATGACTGCTTTTGGAAAATGCTGACTATAAATTCACTGTGTAAATAAAGTTCTAAATGTGGGAATGTTGGCATAATCAGAATTTAAACTTTCAAGATCTATTTTGCCTTTATTTATGAAATTATGTAATTATGAGACTTTTTTTTAAAAAATAAACTGTTCTGTTTTTCCATTTTGCATCTTGTCACCTGTGTGAGAAAACTCTGAAATACTTATGCATTCTTTCTGTTGTTTTTTCTGTTAGGTTTTTTTGCAATTCTCTGGATTCTGCTGACTGTGTATCTAAGAAAGCAAGTGGCCAGCCTGTAGATGAAACTGCTGTTGCAGATAAAGAGACCAGTCTAGATGACTCAGATTGTCTAGATGGCAAGAGGCTGGTTGATACGAGTGTAGCACATAACTCAAGTGATCTGACTCCAGACCGTGTCACCGAGGTTGCTGATGAGGAGTCTCCATCTTCTGAGACCAACAAATTCACAGGGACCATTTCCCCACCCACTCTGGGGACACTAAGAAGCTGCTTTAGCTGGTCTGGAAGCCTTGGAGGTTTCTCAAGAACTCCGAGCCCCTCTCCCAGCACAGCTTTGCAGCAGTTCCACAGAAAGAGTGATCCCCTCACCTCTCTGCCTGCGAAGAATGAGATGTCTGATGCATCTCAGTTAAAGAGTGAGGAGTCGGGTGATGAATCTCATCCCTTGCCTGAAGCCAATTGGTCTTCACGGTCTCAGGAGAGCATGGAATTATCACCACACAATCCAAATGCATCAAGACTTTCTCAGCCTTCTAGTAAGGATTCAGATTCAGAGGTAAGTCACGTTATGAAGCCTTTGTTTTCAAATTCATGTGTGAGAGAAAATAGGGTGTTTATCAGATAAATGAGAAAATTTTACCTACACTATGGAAATAATTGGTTGTCTTAATTTTTCCTTCTAGATCTTACTGTGTAGAAAGTTGACATTTTATTCTTCTGAAGGACGTCTCTGTATCTTTCATATTTTAAGCTCTTGTGCATTTAGTCTAACTGTTTTCTTGAATCACTATGAGTTCCATTGATATGTGCCTCAAATTGTGGAACAGTTAAGACCTAAGCAGAATAAGCTATGAAATGAAAAGTTACTATAAATTTAATATTTAAATCCTTAATATACTCTTACGAGTATCTTGTTCAATCTGAAACCCCCATCCCCCCACCCTTTTTTTTTAAACATTTTTATGATGATTTAGATGGAAGTTGTTATTTGTCAGTTAATGTTGGGTCCAGTCCTTCAAACTGTTCATATCTGCTTTATAACATTCACTGTACTAACTCTTCTTCAGGTTGGGGTGGGGGGTGGTGACACAGTTTAGCTATGTCCTCAAGATAAAGTCCTAGTGAAAAACAAATAAATGTTCTTTAGTTATAAAAAAAACAACAACAAAAAAAACAGATAACATTTGAAAACTTATAAGGAAATGGCCCTATTAATGTGGCGGTGTTTGTCTTAAGTTTCAGTACTTTAGAAATATATTTTCACTTATTCATCTTTTTCTTGCTAAAGTTCCCCTTTATAACAAAACAAAATAGTAATACAGGTGATTTTATGTTATTCTGTTTTAAATTAATAAAAGCATCCTAGCCATTTTTTCTTATATATAAAATATCTTGTATTCTGACTTAAATAAAACCAAAACTCCAAACAAGTACTGCTTATAAGACCCAATAACATGTCATTTAAATGACATGATGGCATCATAGCTTTCTCTAAATCTGAGTTATCTCAAATTTAGCAATATAACATACTTTGTTTTATCTTTACCAACTATAAGTACCAAGTTGTAAGAACAATTTCCGCCTTGGTAATATTTGACAGAATCTTGATGTCTGGTAATCCCGAATATTGAACAGCATCTAATAAATCAGTATAGCTTATATTTATCAAAAGGAAAGTATTTTATTCAAATTCCCAATGAAACTTGAGTTGTATAAATTGAAGAAAAAAGCCAAGTTAAAAGGTAGAAACAAATTATTTTCCTTTAGAGAAAGCTGAAATCAATCAATATATTCAAATCCAAAATCTGTCCCATGCAGTGTTACGTTTCGAGAGTATGCCACACCAAACTTCTGTTTTTCTTTTTCCGTTTTACTTGCTTTGCCTTCACTTCATCTATACTGGTCTAGAAGACTCTTTCTTTTAATATAAGCCTCCTAAATTTTAATGTCATCTTTTTTATTTTTCACCTCATATTGCATTTTCTCCGGGCACCATTTGGGTACCACCTCAGTTGCTGTCTCTTGATCATCTTTTATGAGAGCATCCCCATCTATTTGTGAAGATGCTTTTAAGTTTGCTGAGCTCCACTGGGGCATTCTTTTTCCTTTTTCCACCAGGCATCTTCCTGTTTGACTGACTTTGTAAGCTTTCAGCCATGTTTACTGAGAAGCCTTACCAGCTCACAGGCTTTGGGCTAATCATGCTGGGCTGACCATTTTCTATACTAATCAGTTATAGAAACATGAATCCTCTCCCCCATCAAAAAAACAAACTAACTAAACTAAACTAGGAATCATTCATTAAATCATCTCTTGCCATCAGATGTAGTGACTTCCTATTAGAATAAATGAATTATTAATTCTCCAAGAATTAGGACGCTAACAGTTAACATAAAAACTATATAATCTTTCTTTGATTCAGAAAATGTTTCAGGCAGTCACAATGCCATTGGGGCATCATTTTGAATATCAGTTTTTACTGTATGGTTGTGAAAAAAATATTTTTCTGCTGGAGACTACCGTTGGTATTTCACTGAAAAGCAGCAGCCATAGATTCTCTGTGAATTGAGTTCATTGACCCTACCTGAGGTGAATTAATCTTAGGATCTTACTCATGAGTTTCATTTTTAGAAATAATTTAGCCCAGAGTCACCCTTAGTGCTAGCTATGAGCAGGGCGTATTGGAGTTTTTGTAAGTTACAATCCAAGTCAGTGGAGTATTTTTCACTTTCGGTTGTTTTTTAAGTATATAACACTGTGTAGCATTCCAAGATAAATATTAAAAAAAAAAAACAAAAAAACCTTGAAAAATACAGAAATGAAAGGTCCTTTGAATTTCCATTCATTGTCCTTTATTTGACTTTCTTGGGAATCCAGATTATTCTGACTATAGAAAAGTCTTCCATTATGGGATTGGGGTTTATAGGGTAGGTCTGAAAGTCATTGCTAAAGGTAACTGTGCATTCTTTAATGTTGAGCATGTTGCACAATTAAAAGGAGATGCAGAACTCTACCAGATCAACTGTGTGTAGCTAGTAATTTATGGAAACTGTTAGCCAAGCTTACAATGATGTTACAGTAGGAGACTCTTGTCTGTATGAGTCAGCATTTGACAGGCTCCAGAAACGATTCAGAAAAGCCTGCAATGCGTACTTGATTTTATACAATTTACTTCTCCAGCTAAAACATCTTGCTAGTATCTTCAGTGAAACTGGGAGTGAAACTGGCCATCGTCATTCTTTCCACATTTGATGCATTTTCTTTTGTTGTGTCGTGCTTTTCATACTTTCTTTTCTCAGAAGTTACATTTTATTTACACTGATTTTCTCGCTTTACTTGTTTCATGTTTTGTCGAGTATTAGTTGTCATAAAAATTCCATAGTAAAAATCTAATTCTATTTTATTTTCTGATCTGGGGGAATCTAGGAATCTGACTGCAATTTTAAGTCACTTGATAATCAAGGTAATCAGAAATCCAAGCTACATTTGTTTCGTTTTTCGAAAAAAGATACAGTTCCAAGGAATAAGGTAAAACTTTTATTTAATTTCTTTTTTAATTTCAGAAGCAGTTCGTGCTTATTATCAGAAAATGGGAAATATAAGCAAAATTAAAAATTAAAATTCCTATGTTCTTATTTACACAAAAATGTTTCCTTTAAACCTTCTAGGACCATGTTTGTGCTTGATTGTAGGTGTTTGAGTTGTGAAATCCGCTATTTTCTCTTGCGGTGTAAAGATCTTTTTCCGTGTACTTATATAACATTACTTATAATGACTGTATAATATGCTGTTGTATGGGTTCAGCTAATCCTCTTTTGTTTGTCCTTTACCCTAAAAACGTTTTGCTATAGCCATCAGTACTGCCACTATGATCTTGTGGATAAATATTTGAGTACACATTCTTGGTTATTTCATAAGGATGAATTCCATGGAGTAGTCTTACTGGTGCGAAGACGTGTGTGATTGAAAGCTTATTGCCAAAAGGCCTTCTAGAGACTGTGTACCCAATAAGCCAGTTTTTTTTTTAATCAAACTATGGAAATATTTATGTGACTGCATAGTGAAAGCTCATAAACTAAAGCATATTCTCTACATTGTGTTCTTGCCCATCAGTATGAAAGCACTAATTCCTAACTTAAAAATGGGCAAGAGACATGAACAGAGATCACAAAAGAAAAGTGCAAATGGTTAATTAATATATATAAGCACGTTCAACCTCATTAGTAATCAAATAAAGCAAATTAAAATAATAAAATTTCTTACCCTTCAGATTTCCAAAAAGTGTTTTTTAATTGTATGCATTTTTATGAGGGTGTAGCAAGGTGAATAATCACATATTTAAGAGAATATGAATCGCTCTGCCATTTCTGGAAAGAAATTTGAAAGAATTCAAGTAATTTAACCCAGTTAAGTGCATTCTAGAACTTGAGCCTAAGGAAATAATGAGAGTTTAAGTACAAGAAAACATACTCCTCCATTGGTTACAGTAGTGAAAAATTGGAAATAATCTAAATATCTAAAAATAAAGGAGTGAATTATTAAATACGTTATTGGTGTTATCTCTTAGCAAGTAGGAATATAGGTGAATTTTTTTCTGTTCTTTTTTTCTCTATAGCGAACATATGTTATTTTTCTTATATAAGTGAACTATATTTATATAGTAAACATGTATTATTTTCTTTACTTTCAAAAGCATAAAAACTTTTAAAATTTTTCAATAAATGGTCTGTATATCCATTTGAAAGAAGATCCCTGTCTCATACTGTATAAATATAAATCTCAAATATATTAAAGGTATAAAATATGTAAATATAAGATTATTTTTAAAATCTTTGAGTGAGAAAGTCTTTGTCAATCATATACTGTCTTGCAAAGATGTGCATATTATTTTTGAATGAAAAGGAAAATCATGTTATTAAACAGTATGTATAACATGGTGTTTTTGTTTGATTAAATACATAAAAATACTCATGCACACATGTGTATGTTGTATAATCATAATAAAAGGACAAAAAAGATATCAAAATTATTTGCAGTGATGGATAGGACTAGAGATGTAGAAAGTACTTTCCCAAAAGGAGTTCTGTCTGGACATTAAACCGTCATCTTTTTATTGTTATTCCTGCTCTTAGAGATTTGCATTTTCAGGGTTTTAACTGTCGCATCTATTTTGGTGAAAACTCCTCAGATGAACCTTCCCCCTTGGTCCCCAATATCCATCTTTAATATCTAAAATCAGACTCATCTTGTTTACCTCTAACCAGTTCTTCCCAGAACATTTTTATTTTTATCTGTTACATAAAATTATGTTATTCTCTTTGTCATTGAATTTAAAAATCTTGGAGTTGTCCTTTTCCTTTATAACTGCCAGCTCGATGCTTCTTCTGCAAGGGGTAAAGAAAAACCACCAAACACCTATACCTGTCCAAATTGTAAGGTTTCTTCCTTTGTCTTGTTTTTTGCTCTCTCCCTTTTCCCCGTCACAACACCCTAGTTCAAGATTTCATCTTTCATGTATGAACCTGTCCATTCTTCATGCACCCTTTGCAAGATTCATCCATTGTAAAGCCTTGTTTTATATGCTTCCCTCTTACTACCCTAAAAAACAACAAAAGTTTAATGGCTCCATATTTCCCACAGGATAAAAATCAACCCATCAGTGAAACAACCTAACTGTCAGTAGGGATCTGGTTAAGTAAATTATGGCAGGTTTATACAGTGGAAGAATAGACAGCCTCTTAAAAACAAATTCAGTTCTACATGTGAAGTGGAAAAATCTCCGAGATGCGTTAAGTAGAATCAAGATATAAGTGAGAAAGGCATGTGTGTGTGTAAATGAATCAGTGGATGCACAGGAAGCTGGTGACAGCGACTGCCTAGAGGAGTGAGGGAGTAGGGGAGACTCACTTTTCTATTCTTTATAACTCTTGAATTTAGTGCCAGGTGCAGGTATCACCTGTTAAAATCATTATGATAAATTTTGTAGTAGACATATATAAATAGCACATTGTTACACATTGCTTCTAGGTTATTTTCTCTTCCAGTGTATAAAGAATAGTTTGAAATTAACTAAAGGTAGTTGCTCTAACGGAATAGTATTAAAATGGGCATTTAATCTTCAGGTTCCTGGGCTGTATAAATCCAGTTCTGTGGACAATCTTTCTACCACCAAGATCAAACCTCTTGTACCTGCCAGAGTCAGTGGGCTGAGCAAGAAGCCAGCAAGCATCCAGAAGAGAAATCATCATGATGCCGAGAACCAGCCAGGGTTGCAGATAAAAATCAATGAGCTCTGGAAAAATTTTGGATTTAAAAAGTGAGTTACCTTCTTACTTATTCTTAAAATAGGATGAATTATTTTTTTCTTTAATTTCAGTCCCTTTCCCCCAACTCTTTGTATGTTCATATAAATCAATTTCTTTTATTCTTACCCTAAGAGAATTATTTTCCTCTCCTCTATTCCTTTTAGCTGACTCTTTGTAAGTATATTTAACTTCAACTTCTATACCTTCTTTCAGTGAAAAGATGGCAAACTAAACAACCTCAGTTTGTAATCTGGCTTTGGGGTCTCTCTGTTGTTAAGCAAATGACTTTTGCCGGCCTTATAAGTGTCTGAGCTGTCTTTCCTTCTTATCTCTCAGGATTGTAATGAGAATAAAGTTGTTTTAGATGTGAGGGTGGAAAGGTAATACTGTGTCGTTCTTCTGGATTTAAAGCAATTTATTTCCCTAAATTATTACATCTAAAATGAGGAGAATCATTGAGTTTGTAGGGTGAATTTTCCCGATTTCTAATGTAGGTGGCAAACACAGTTTTAAAAGAATTGACTCTATGTCTACATTTTTGAACCACAGTACTTCCGTTAGACTACAAAATGAGCTACAGAATAGCATCAATTTGTAATTAATTTATTTTCTTGTTCTCAGTAAAGTAAATGTGCTAAGAATAAAAGAAAAGAAAGAAAGAACAGTTACGTGGGGTGATAGGATTAAACCTTACTAACACAAATGTCACAATCAGATGAGATAGTATGAGTGGAAACACTTTGTAAATAAGTTTGTGCTGGCCAATTGTTTTTTATTTTACATTGTGTAAAGTCTAGGATTAAACCATATAGCAGCAGTTCTCAAACTTCTTCCCTTCGGGAACTCTTTACACTCTTAAAAATTATTGAGGGCCCCAAAATACTTTGGTTTATGTGGCCTATGTCTGTCACATTTAACCATCTTAGAAATTAGAATGGACATTTAAAAAAATTTATTTTTAAATAATAATAATAAGCCCATTACATATTAAAATTGATATTATACTTTTAGAAAAATTAGCTATGTTTCCCCAAAAAAAAATAAAAAGAGAGACTTTTTTTTTACATATTTGCTAATCTTTACTGTCTGGTTTAATAGAACTAAGCTGGATTCTTCTATCTGCTTCTGTGTTTGATCTGTTATACGTTGTTTGATTGAAGTGTATGAAGAAAATCTGGCCCCACACATATATGTAGTTGGAAAATGTATATTTTAATAGCCTTTATATTTAATTATAAATTTTCCTCTTTGATACTACACCAAAATTCAACAAGCAGTAGTTTGTTAAAGGTTAGTTGCAATGTAGAATATGAAACCATATTGACTGGCTTTTCATACCCTGTGTTATGTGGCGGTCCATCGGTCCATCCTGCACTGTGAGTGCCTTTACTCATGCATGATTTTATAACCTCATGCATTGGTCTTTTAGAAAATACTGATTTATTGAGTTGTGCTTGTCTTTACACGTTGACACATTTCATTATACAATATAAAAAAACCACAGTCTTATCAACAAAGTCATTAGTATTGGGGAAGCTGTCAAGTGGCCGATAAAAGTTTTCCAAAATTCTAATTTTCACTACAAAGGTTGAATTTTATCATTGGCAACAAATACCGTTAGTTGTTTTCTTTGAAGTAACAAGCAGACGTTCTGCTCATTTTAGAGAAGCCCTTTGCCAAACACCTAAATTTGATAACCATGCTGTCACGGTGCTTTTACTTGAGATAACCGTCATACTTGAGGACGCAGCAAAGGTGCCTTCTGTGTGATTCCCATTTTGTCACAGAATATTAAGAAATTGAGAACGTTAAGATTTAATAAAATTAATGATTTTTACTACTTCATCAAGAACGTTCTTAAGTGAGACGGACTGTTTTTTTTAAGCACAAGTACGTGGAGCTGGAGAGTACATGTACTGCTAGTGTTTCTGTACGGTCTGGTGCTGCTGTCTTGATTCACGCTAAGTTGCCAGCAGCTTTTCTCAATTCTCTTTTGTGTCATCAGTACAAATGTCAGCCCGGTGGAAAAGGCAGATAAGTCTAAATATTATTATGAACATAGTTTTGCTCGCACAGACCCCTTTCAAGGGCCTTGGGAGTTTTTAGGAGCCCAGGGACGATACCTGGAGAACTGCTACTAGAGAGAAATTAAGGGTGCAACAGTGTTCTTACGTGTCTCTTAGAAAGTAAAACTTCACTGGTGTTGAATTTTTGTTGACAGGAGATAGAACTACCTGTGTTAGCGTCGTAATAGGATGAATTTTTATAGACTTAGAGCTCCCTTCCAGCAAAAAAAAGGCAGGGGAGCAAGGTGTAGTAAAAGATAGGGCTTAAACATTTGTTCATGCTTCACTTATACAGGTGCTTAGCCAGCCTCGAGAAGGGTGCTAAGGAGAAAAGAACTAAAGTTTCTTTACTGGAATCATTCTGCCTTAGCTAGTATATATTTAGTAGTGGCCTCGCACCTACTTTGAAAGGTGATTTCGAAAGCAGGAAGGGGAACTAAGAAGCAAAACTCACGTTTTACTGGGCGTACTCAGAGGAGAACCTGAATGTCATATAATGAATTGAGACAGATTATACAGTAAAGGCTCTTGTCCTCTTCATATACGTCTATTTTGTCCAGGAAGATTATTCTCTAATAATCAGTACTCTACAAACGCTAAATTCGTTTTGTTCTATTATATTTTGCAGAGATTCTGAAAAGCTTCCTTCTTGTAAGAAGCCAGATCCCCTGTCTCCAGTCAAAGATAACATCCAGCTGACACCAGAAGCAGAAGACGATATATATAACAAATCTGAATGTACACGTCTTCAGAGAGCAATATTCCAATAAACACGGGCGGCTGGAGGCTGTGGCCCTCAGGAGAACCTCTATCAATTTGAAGTCCTGTTTAGGAATGAGACATTTACCAGTCTGAAAGATTTGTTCTTAGATCTATGCCATTTTTTAAATAGAGTACATTTTGTGTATTAACTATGTAATTGTTTATTTTGTTCAGCTTTTTATATTTTCATAGGAAGCTAACTAGAGATATAATTTTATCTTTGACAGTTCTTGGAAGTTTTAATGTTAATTGGGCAAGTCCCCTAGAATTTATAAAATCTACTCTAAGGATTTCTGTAATGTTGTCAAGTATAAGGATGGTAAAGGAAAAACCACAATTATGGAATCATTTTATCCTAGATGAAATCACTGTATTTTTCCAAGCTTTAAATTTTTCCCCTGCCTTTCCTGCCTGTCTTTCAGGGTTGAAATGAAAATAAAGCTGCTGGGATGGGAGGGGTTTTTGGAAGGGTTAAAGGTCATTGCACAGATGGACAGTGCTCTGTGAGCCCTGAAGAGTCTGCTTAGGTTACAGGTTTGACAGTGAAGGAAAATTGCTTTCAGCCTCATGTGAAGGGAACTGCTTATTTCGTTAATATTCTTAAACTTCAAAATAGCCTCAGCTTTTCTTAGTATGTCTTTTTTGAAATGTAGGCTAAAAATCCCTTAACGTATATTTAAAACTGTTGTCCTAGGTGCAGGGTAAAATGTTAAAGCTGCAGGGTCTGTGATATGTACACCCTGCAAAGAAATAGGCAGAAACCCGGAAAGGGAACCAGCTGTGCAAGTGAAGATCTGACAGGAAATGAAGGAATTATACAAGTATCTGGGATGTAGACGATAAAGGAAAGGGACCCAGAGTATTTTAATTTTTAAATGAGACTTCGTAGAGGATTCTCGCATAAAGAGGTCAGAATGGAACAAGAAACATAAAGTTGTAAGAAATAGCATAAAAATGTAAAAAAAACAAAAACAAAAATAAAAATCTGGAAAAGACCAAAACCAAAGAACAAAAGCAAATTTGAATTCTCTGTGAATGTTTCCTGTTACAGAACAAATAAGAATGTGAATCAAACATTGTCTACAAATGTTTATCTCTTCACTCATTTAAAATGACAGAAAAGGAATAAAACATACTATAAACCCCAAAGGTTAACAAGAAGAAGAGACATCAGGCAAGGAAAGAGATGGGTAGGTGGTAAGTGATTTAGCAAAGAAATGATCATTTCTCCATGGGCGGAATCCAACCAGAGGGAAGAGTTTAGATGGGTTCAGTAAATGGAGATATCATGCAGGTTCCTGTGAAGCTGGAAATGGGGTTGTTTGAAAAACTTTTAAAAATAGCAGGGGAAAGAGAAAGGGAAGATGGCAACAGTGCCATAGTGTTTCAATCTCCAAATCCCCACATAACAGCAACTGGATAGCAAAATCAAAAACCTGTGAGCAGGGGCCAGCCCTGTGCTGTAGTGGTTGGGTCCACGCACTCCACATAGGCAGCCCAGGGTTCACGGCTTCAGATCCCTGGCGCAGGCCTACACACCACTTATCAAGCCATGCTGTGGAGCATCGCATATACAAAAAGTAGAGGAAGATCGGCACAGATGTTAGCTCAGAGCCAATCATCCTCACGCAAAAAAACAAAACACCTATGAACAACATTCCAACAAATTTAGGTGACATGATGTCCTTAAATCCTAAGCTATAAGTGGGTAAAGACAAGCCAGCAACAGCCAGACTGCAAGATCGTATTGGCATCTATTCAGGAGACGTAGAGGAAGGCGGTAGGGCATCTAATGGACCTAAGAACAGAACTTTCAAGCCATTGAAACACATAGCAAGCCAAGCTGGACACAGCTTTGGAACCTGGGAGGGGCTTTGCACATTCCAACGGTGAGCGAGTGCAAGAGGCCTGCATGTTTGCCAAGGCTCCCTCCCTCCCGGGACAGGTTCTACTTTGGGAGTAAAACCAAAATTGAGTGGGAGACAAAGAGAAAGTTAAAATGCAAGTGGAAAAAGGAACAGTTGAGGAAATCTCAGCAGAACATCCTATTTCTGAGCACTTAAAACTGTGAAGTTCAAGAAGCCCCAAGAACCAGGCTTCCTTCTCACAGTTGAAGAATAATTTTATTTAAAAAAGAAACCACAGAGAAGTTTTTAGATCCATTGTTTACAAAGTTATTTTAATAAGAAAAAAAGAATCAAGAGCAGAATAAAGTCTATATAGACAATGAAAATCTGCCAAAATAGCCCCTGAGCAGATCAAAACTACTCAATTTGAAAATGTGTTAAAAGATTTTAAGAAAATGATACAAGATATAAAGGAAATTTAGAATAAAGAACAGAAGCAGGGCCGGCTCTGTGGCTTAGCGGTTAAGTGCGCGCGCTCTCATGCTGGCGACCCGGGTTCGGATCCCGGGAGCGCCCCGAGGCACCACTTCTCCGTCCAACGCGAGGCCGAGTCCCACGTACAGCAACTAGAAGGATGTGAACCTATGACATACAACTATCTACTGGGGCTTTGGGGGGAAAAAACTGAAAAAAAAAAATCTTTAAAAAAAAAAAAAAAAAAAAACAGAAGCAAACTGCAAGTAATGCCTTAAAAGAAGTAGAAGGTAGAGGCTGACCTGGTGGCATAGTGGTTAAGTTCATGCGCTCTGCTTCAGTGGCCCAGGGTTCTCAGGTTCAGATCCTGGGTGTGGACCTGCACACACCTCATCAAGCCATGCTGTGGCAGCATCCCACATACAAAATAGAGGAATATTGGCACAGATGTTAGCTCAGGGACAGTCTTCCTCAAGCAAAAAGAGGAGGATTAGCAACAGATGTTAGCTCAGGGCCAATCTTCCTCCCACACACACACATACACAAAAATAGAAGGTAAAATTAAAACAAAATGGGAAAAAGACTTAAAAAAAAAAAAGTGACAAATATTGAAGATACGAACAGAATGTCCAATACACAGATAATAGGAATCTCTGAAGGAAAATAAAACTATAATTCCAGAAAACTCCTAATTTAAAAAAAATTGAAATAATTTTTTAAATTATTTTTATTGAGGTAACTGGTTTATAACATTATGTAAATTTCAGGTGTATGTCATTATATTTCAGCTTCTGTGTAGACTGCATCATGTCCACCACCAAGTCTAGTTGCTATCCATTACTAGATGGATAGTACTAAAGACATGAGCCCCTTTACCCTTGATGCCCTACCCTCCCTTCCCCTCTGGTAACCACTGATCTGTTCTCCATATCTATGTGTTTGTCTTCCACATATGAGTGAAATCATACAGCATTTGTCTTTCTCTGTCTGACTTCACTTAGCATAGTACCTTCAAGGTCCATTCATGTTGCAAATGGCAAGATTTCATTTTCTTCATGGCTGAGTAGTGTCCAATTGTGTGTATATGCCACATCTTTATCCATTCATCCATTGATGGGAGCTTCGGTTGCTTTCAACACTTTGCTATTGTGAATAATGCTGCAATGAACATAGGGGTGCATATATCTTTCTTAATTAGTGTTTTCATGTTCTTTGGATAAATACCCAGAAGTAGAATAGCTGAATTATATGGTATTTCTAATTTTAGTCTTTTGAGAAATCTCCATGCTGTTTTCCATAGTGCCTGCACCAATTTTATATTCCCCCAGCAGTGTATGAGGGTTCCCTTTTCTCCACATTCTCTGTAACACCTGTTATTTCTTGGTTTTTTGATAATAGCCATCCTGATGGGCATGAAGTGATATCTCATTGCAGTTTTGATTTGCATTTCCCTAAAAATTAGTGATGTTGGACATCTTTTCATGTGCCTGCTGGCCATCTGTATATCTTCCTTGGAAAAATGTCTGTTTATGTCCTCTGCCCATTTTTTTACCGGGTTGTTTTTTGTTGTTGTTGTTCAGTTGTATGTGTTCTTTATATATATTGGGTAGTAACCACTTATTGGATATATGATTCACAAATATTTTCTCCCAATTGGTAGGTTTTTTAATTTTGTTCTTGGTTTCCTTTGCCATGCAGAAGCTTTTTAGTTTGATGTAGTTCCATTTGTATATTTTTTCTTTTGTTTCCCTTGCCTAAGGAGACATATTCAAAACTATACTGCTAAGACCGATGTCAAAGAGCATACTGCTGTATTTTCTTCTAAGAGTTTTATGGTTTCAGGTCTCACATTCAAGTCTTTAATCCATTTGAGTTAATTTCTAGATATGGTGTAAAGTAATGGTCCACTTTCATTCTTTTGCATGTAGCTGTCCAATTCTCCCGACACCATTTATTGAAGAGACTTTCCTCTCTCCATTGTATGTTCTTGGCTCCTTTGTTGAAGATTAGCTGTGTGCAGGTGTGTGGTTTTATTTCTGGGCTCTCAATTCTGTTCCATTGATCTATGTGTCTGTTTTTGTGCCAGTACCATGGTGCTTTGATTACTATAGTTTTGTGGTATATTATGAAGTCAGGAAGTGTGATGTCTCCAGCTTTGTTCTTTTTTCTCAGGATTGCTTTGGCTATTTGGGGTCTTTTGTTGTTCCATGTAAATTTTAGGATTCTTTGTTCTATTTCCAGGAAAAATGTTGTTGGGATTCTGATTGGGATTGCATTGAATCTGTAGATCATTTTAGGTAATATGAACATTTTAACTATATTAATTCTTCCAATCCATGAGCATGGAATAGCTTTCTGTTTCTTTATGTCTTCAATTTCTTTGAACAATGTCTTATAGTTTTCAGTGTACAGGTCTTTCACCTCCTTGATTAAATTTATTCCTAGGTATTTTATTCTTTTTGTTGTGATTGTAAATTCGATTGTATTCTTGATTTATCTTCCTGTTGCTTTGTTGTTAGTGTATAGAAATGCAATTGATTTTTGTATGTTGATTTTGTACCCTGCAACTTTACCATATTCATTAATTATTTCTAATAGTTTTTTGGTGGATTCTTTAGGGTTCTCTATATATAAAATCATGTCATCTGCAAATAGTGACAGTTTTACTTCTTCCTTTCCAATTTAGGTACATTTTATTTCTTTCTTTTCTTTTTTTTTTTGCCTAATTGCTCTGGCTAGGACTTCCAGTACTATGTTGAATAAGAGTGGTGAGAGTGGGCATCTTTCTCTTGTTCCTGTTCTTAGAGGGATAGCTTTCAGTTTTTCACTATTAAGTGTGATGTTGGCTGTGCATTTGCTGCCTTTATTATGTTGAGGTACTTTCCTTCTATGATCATTTTATTGAGTTTTTTTTTTTATCATAAATGGATGTTGGATCTTGTCAAATGCTTTCTCTGCATCTATTGAGATGATCATGTGATTTTTATTCTTCATTTTGTTAATGTAGTGTATCACATTGATTGATTTGTGGATGTTGAACCATCCCTGTGTCCCTGGAATAAATCCCACATGATCATGGTGTATGACCCTTTTAATGTATTGTGTTCAATTTGCTAATATTTTGTTGAGAATTTTTGCATCTATATTCATTGGTGATATTGGCCTGTAACATTCCTTTTTGTTTTTTCCTTCTCTGGTTTTGAT